TAAAGAGCAGAGATTTACTTATTCACATTGAACAAACCCTCCATGACATAGTATATTGTGTTGGCTTATATAAAGTAAAGGATTGGTCCCTTGGTAACAGTGTGTCACTATCCTTAGAGCTGAAAGCTAACCAGCTGCCATTCCATAGGTTCACCTCTTTGACCTCCAATGCAAGCCTGAAATCAACTTCAGCTCAAGGTGGTAAAGAAAGTTCTTTACAACAGAAAACCATGCCCTGAGGGTAGTTTTCAGGAGGCTCATAAAGCCACAAAGGCTCATCTGTCCACCATCCTCCCTCCCTCCATCCATCCATCCACCCACCCATCCACCCATCCACCTATCCATCCACCCACCCACCCATCCATCCACCCACCCATCCACCCACCCATCCATCCATCCACCCATCTATCCATCCATCCATCCACCTATCCATCCACCCATCCACCCACTCATCCATCCATCCACCCACCTATCCATCCATCCATCCACCTATTCATCCACCCACCCACCCACCCATCCACCCATCCACCTATCCATCCACCCACCCACCCACCCATCCATCCACCCACCCACCCACCCACCCATCCATTCATCCACCCACCTATCCATCCATCCATCCACCTATCCATCCACCCATCCACCCACCCATCCATCTATCCATCCATCCATCCACCCACCCACCTATCCATCAATGAACAGAAACTTCTCTTCAAATGTACATGGGAATTACTCAGCCAGAGAGGAAATCAATGCTGATTTCTTGTGATTCTGCTGACATTCCAATGACTTTGAGTGGCACCACCTAATGCCTGCTGAGAGCCAGGCTGCCTGCGGCCAGCAGGGAGTTTCGTCTGTGGAGTGGTTTCCCAGTGGGAGTAAGAAGTGGCCTTGACAGGAAGCCAAGTGCTGATGGATGGTAAATGGTTGGCTTTTATATTCAACAACTTTATGAAAATTTTCAAGAGAATTGGCACTCCTTCTTGCATATTAAAAAAAGGCTATATAAATGTTTTCATACACAGCTTCTTCACCCACATACTTCCAGGTATAACACATCACTTAACAGACTAATACATGCCAATACCGTCAGATATGTGGCTTGGAGGCTTTTCAAGAGGAAGCAACCACATGTATACTGAGAGTCTTTATAAGCTGTTAACATTTATTGAGCACTTACTCTGTGTCATGAACTATCCTAAGTGCATTTCATACATTCATGATTTCAACTAATGCTCAAAACAACCCCATGAGGTAGGACTCATTATTAGCCCCACTTTACAGACAAGAAATCTCAGGCACAAGGAGGCTGGGTAACTTGTCCAAGGACACATGCTCATAAATATAAGCAGGGATATAAATTCCAGCAGTCACTGTCTCACACCCCACACCTTCCTCCTGACCACTGTGCTTGGGTCTGCCCCAGGGTGTCCCAACTGAGAGTGCTTAAAAGAATCATGGCAGTACGATCACATGCATTGCTCCCCAACTTCCTTACAGGGTTTCACTTTCTCACAGGAGGAGACGAGGAAGCCATAGGGGCACCAGTTGCTGAGCTGGAAGGTGTGTTCTTGCCTAGATCTTGCCTTTCTCCTGCAAAGATGGCTGTGGAGGGAGCAGTTTTGGATACCTTAAAATGCCATGGACACCCTAGGGGAGATGTCGAAGAGCAGGTTGAAATTCACGTATTACTGAGAGATTAGTGGATGAAAAGATATGATGAATGGGACTTCCTTAGAAATGACATGGAATAATAGATGGGAGTAGAGATAAAACAAGGTTTACCATGGTTGGTAATTGTTGAGCTGGTTGATGAGTCCACTGGGATTAATTATACTCTTCCGACTACTTTTGTATATGTCTGCAACTTCTCCAAATTAAGTTTTTTTTAATGATTTTATTTATTTATTTTTAGAGAGGGAAGGGAGGGAGAAAGAGAGAGAGAGACATCAATATGTGGTTGCTGGGGGTCATGGTCTGCAACCCAGGCATGTGCCCTGACTGGGAATCAAACCTGCGACACTTTGGTTCGTAGCCCATGCTCAATCCACTGAGCTATGCCAGCCAGGGCCAAATTAAGTTTTTGAAAATTCGGAAGGACACAGAATCACTTATATAGGATACTATTAATAAATGTATAATTTGTATCTAATCATGAGTGAGTACCAGATAAACCCAAATTAAGAGACATTCTACAGAACTGTCCTGTACTCTTCAAACATATCAGTATCAGAAAAGACAATGAATAACTTAGGAACTTTTCCAGAATAAATGACAGCAAAGAGACATAACTAAATGCAGTGTTCCTGGTTTGTATTCTGTATCAGAAAAAAACCCAATTCTTATAAAGGGCCTTATTGGGGCAACTGGTGAGAGTTGAATATAGATTTGTATATTGAATAGTATATATCCATGTGAAATTTCTTAAATTTAATTACTTACTGTGGTTATATAAAGGAATGTCCTTGTTCTTGGGAGCTGCACACTTAAATAATTAGGACTTGAAGAACTATGAATTAAATTTATTCTCAAATAACAGTAATAATAACTATAATTCATAAATATATGTAGTATAGATAGATATAGAGAGATTATACAAATGTGGCAAAAATGTTAACTGGTGAATTTAGGTGAAGCATATATAGGTGTTCATTGTATTATTCTTACAACTTTTCTATAGGCTTGATATTTTTCAAAATAATTTTTTTTAATTAACTTGATTAACTTGATGTGATCATCATTCCTGAAACACCTCCCTCGAGTTCCCTTCCCCACAGACCTTTGAACAAAAAGCTATCTTCCTTACTCCTTAGCGACAAGCACCAAATTCATGTGATTTCTCATGACAAATGCCTCTTGTATGTTTCTTTTTCACATGCATGTGTCACTTACTCATCACAGCAGGCCAGCTGGGCATACCACTGGTGGACTACCCTCAGCTACCGGCCCCTTTGGGGATGGCTTTGGCTGCAGACACTTTGCTCAGTCACAGTCCTGTCCCAGGGTGGTCTACATCTAGCACTTGATTGACCTGAGGTTGTATAGGCCTGACCCTCTCTCTCCAAATCAGCAGAGTTCTGCAGGCCACCCTAGCTTCTGAGAACTCCGAAGAGCCCACTGAAGGCTCCATAAGACAAAAGCACAGCCTGAGGTGTCCCTGTGCCCAGTCCACTCCCTTCCCCTTCCTTCCCCCGGGTGTTGGACTCAAGAACACTCCCTCACAGGCCTCCTGCACGGTCCTTCCCATCTCTGAGTCCACTTCTGGGGACCCAGCTATGGCAACAGTGTCATGACCATTTTGCAGGTGAAGGAAACTGAACCCCAGAACAATCACTTGCCTAAGGTTGGAAAGCCATTTATTGGTGGGGCTAAGACTCAGACTCCAAATCTGCTGGCCTCCAGCTTCCCCTCCATTCTCTTTACCTTTCCAAGTCCTACCTCTCTGTGAAGGCCAAGGACAAGTTCCCACCTCTCTCAAAGGCCTTCTCTATGTCCCCTCTGGCCTTCAAGTTCATACCATCTGCTCCGTTTGGCACATGGCCATGATCCCATTTGGGGACTTTTCTTAACCATCACCTCATATTACATAGCCACTCTGCTGTCATTTAGCTTTTCACTTTGAAGCTTGGTACTTTTCTTTGCTGTCTCCCTGTGGACAAATGTCATTCATTGTTCTTTTATCTCATCAGTTATTGTCCCCGAGCTGAGCACACAGTATATCACTGTGCAGTGAGTGAATAGCAACATTCCTTCCCTCTGGCTATGTTTTAAGTCTTAGAAATTGAGGAAACACAACATCTTCAAAAGACACACAGCCTGCAGCCACAATTTCCTTTGTGTCTCTTCTGGAGTGGCACAGAGCTCTGTGACACAGAATATGGCAGGAAATGGCAGGTTATTCTACCAAAGGAGCAACACTGCTCACGGTGGAGCATCCCAAAGTGTATTGATCCACATAAAAACACGAGCCAGGTAATACTTGGTCAAATTCAGTCAAAAAATAAGGAAGAAAATAACACACCAGGAATAAAAATCCCTAAATGTATGCTGGCCATTGGTTTTGGCAAAACTACTTTTATTTTAATTATTTAAAGCTTTTCACAATATGCTAGGAAATGGCATATTGTGTACTTTCTAAAAAAAATGAAGTCTTAGATAAAAAAATCTGAAAACATATTATTAAATTTTAAGGGTAAAATAAGTGAGTTGCTTTTCTTTGAAGATTATTGACTGGGAAATTAGCAAAGCCTTCTCCATAATCTCTTAGCAAGGAGAAGTGGAAGCAGGTAGAAGTGGGAAAGTTTGGTCCAAACTCCCTCATTTCCAGTTCCTGGGAATCTCTGGTTGCCATGGTAGCTATGTTAGAACGTGACCACTCAGGTATAGGCAGGACTAGAAAACAATAAGCATCTCACTACATTACTAGTGCTCCAATTAGACTAGGAGACTGGGCGTCTCTGCCAAGAAATCTGTAACAGGTGCTGTCTCAGTCTGTTGGGGCTGATATAAAAAATACCATAGACTGGATAGCTTATAAACAACAGAAATTTATAACTCACACTTCTGGAGACTGGGAAGTCCAAGGTGAAGGTGCCAGCACGGTTGCCTTCTCGTGGAGGCCCTCCTCCTGGCTCACAGCTGCTGCCTTCCCCTTTGTCCTCCCAGGGCAGAAGAGGCTGGGGAACTCCGTGGGTCTATTTTATCACACTCTAATACTGTGCATGAGGGTTCCACCTTGTGCTTTAAGCACCTCCCAGAGGCCTCACATACCATACCATCACCTTCGGGGGTTAGGATTTCAACATATGAATTTTGGGGGGGATACAGTCAAACCATAGCAGGTGCCTTCGATGCAGGTTCAGGCCTTTTAACTGAGCTTGTGTAAGCCTATTCCCTGTTGCGTCCAGGAAAACACAGCTGCTAGAAAAGCATCACACAGTTGGGATCACACTCTTTGTCAGTATGTTCTAGTACTGCTAGGGGTCAGGCAACATGCTACTTACTCTCTCATGCATTGCATCTTGGTCCTGGCCATTGCACTGTTGAAAACTGTTGGTTCTGGGGACATGTCTGGAACTGCACCAGTGACTGTCCTTGAGTCTGAAAATCAATGCGCAGCCTTACTGACTTCATCAGCACTCCAGTGTCTTCAAGGCAACACTCAAGGGCAATCAGAACAGACGCTAACCCACCTTTGCCACAAGGTAATGCCACATTAATTAAAGAGGAATTCAATTGTGCCACGAACAGTAAGGAGATTTATTACAAATGACAAGATTATTTACCCTTTTAATATGCATGAAGAATTCCAGGATCAAGCTGCTCTCAAAAGGATTATTTAAACAGAACGTGGTTGTTTAGAAGACTGGCTTTTCATGCGAGAAAGCCCAGGGAGGAATGCACGTGTGGACGAGCGGCCATTGTTGGGGAGCCTCGGGCCGGTTTCTGTCAGCAGGTGCAGATATTTGCTTCTGATGACTGGGGAATTTTTGCTATAAACTTAGTTTTCTGTTTACCTTATCCCACACCTGAGAATTAGTTTTTTTGCAGTGGAAAGCAAGATGCCGACCAGGAGGTCATCTGCCTCCTTGGGCTTCAGCAGAATGGGGCAGAAGGCCAAAGTTGAGGTCAGAAGGTGAAGAGTTGTCACTGAAAGCTGGGGTCTTATGAAATGTGCTGAGTGAGCCACAGCTTTTACAGAGATGCCCTGGAGACTCTTATAAAATATAATGGAACTGAAGGAGGAAAGAGTCCACCAAAGGAAACAACACTACTTTCCACTGAGAAGCTCAAGCTGGTCCCTGAGGCAGGGCTCAGAGTAATCCAGAATGGGATTCATACAGTGACCCTCCCTGGAGCTGGGCAGTGTCCTCCTGTGTGCTCCTCGGATCTCCCACAAGGTGCCTTCCACCCCTATTAGGAAAAAACTTTGAACACCCTAATATTCATTTATAAATTATGTCCTTGTAGTTGCTGTCAGAGAAGGGGCCCAAATTGTGAAATTCCCACTCTGTTCCCAACAGATCTCATATAATAAATGCCTGTCTGATTTAGCAACCACACAAGAAGGTGTGAGAGCCAAACCCCATTTTACATATTAGTAAAGCTATCTATCTATTTATCTATCTATCTATCTATCTATCTATCCGACGCTATGCAACAAAATACAGTAAAGTGCAATGCAATGCAAAACAATATAATTATTGGGTGTAACTTCCTTCAGGGTGTCCTCCTGGATTCCCCAAGGCCTGAGTACTTGCTCCCCCCTTGGATTTGCATAGCACCAGTAAAAGTGCTGTTCACCCTACAATGATGCAGTCATTATTGACTTTTCTCTCTCTCTCACCAGACTGTGAGCTCCATGAGCACAGGGACCTGTCCCACCCAATTCCCTGCTGCATTAGGTGCCCAGTGCACTCCCATGTTCTCTCTAACCACAGGACAGCTCTACGTGCTGCTCATTTTTTAAAATTTATGTTTTAATTTATAAACGTATAAACAAATTATAAATATAAATATAATTTATTATGCTTATACATTTAAATATAAATTTGTAAATTTAGAGTTATATTTCTTAGATTTTTAAAAATTTAGTAAGCTAAATGCAAATTCCAATATTCTTCAGGTACAACTTGTTTTGTGTGCCCTCTGGGGGGCATGCATCCCACTTGGAATTTCCTGCTTCCGTAGACCTCACTGAGATGAATATCCCCCTCTCAGCTCTTTTGTCAGAACCCCTGATCATTCCTCAGCCTAGGTCCTTGGATGCAGCGTGACTGGATCAACAGGTGTAAACTTTGCGGAGCGCACATGACCATTAGTTCAACCCGGCACGTCATCAATTACGCCTGCACGTTAAGACAGCAGTGCCATGACTGAGGTCTTTCACTCCTAGAGATCGTCCCTCCCACATGCTGAGAGGAGGGCAGCTTCATCACCTCCCCATCTGCAACACTCTGTGCAGGACAGCCGCTTCTGTCCAGGGAAGGCTTTGTGAGTGGGGGTGAAGGGAAGGCTTGGGGTCCATTTCGTGTTCATTTCAGTTGCTTTTTATAATCATCTTTCTTGGAACTTAAAAAGTTACCAAACGATAATCAGCCATGCCATGCCATGCTGAGTAACGGTGCAAGCTCCAAAGCCAGTTCAGCCAAGAACAAAAGGAAGGTGCTGCTTCTCCCTCTCTCCCAGAAGGCCCTGGCAAGTCCTGAAGGCTTATGCAAATACAGGTCAAAGCAATTTTCTTCTTCTTTTTAAGGGTTTCATTTATTTTTTAGAGAGAGGGGAAGGGAGAGAGAAAGAGAGGGAGAGGAATGTTGATGCTCAAGAGAGACATCGATCAGTTGCCTCTCACATGCCCCCCAGTCAGGGATTGAGCCCACAACCCAGATACGTGCCCTGACAGGGAATCCAACTGACGGCCTTTTGGCTTGCAGGGCGATGTCCAACCAACTGAGCCACACGGTTACAGGTGAGGTCAAAGCAATTTTCATCTGGCCACTGTTCCCCTCTTCGAGGCTCTCAGCATTGCTGGGAAAGATGCTAAACCTTGAGCCTGAGAGTGAGAACAGGGCAAAGAGAATTTCGAGTAACAGGATTGGCAGAGCTTGGTGGGCAGAGCAATTGCTTTTCCAGTTTTCCACAGTCAGCCTCTTCCCTCTCCATTCGCCCCTTCCAGCAGGAGTAGCCATTGCTTTACGTTAAAAAGACAACACAAGCAGCAACCAGGATAAAACCATTGGGTTAGAGCCACAGACTTCACTAGTAGGTCACTGAAGCCTGGAGTGTGCTCTAGACCACTGCTTCTCAGACCTTAATAAGATACAGGTCACCCAGGTCACCCAGGGAGCTCTCCTATGCTGCCATCCCAAACCTAGCAGCCCAGGGAGCCTTCTCAAATGCAGATTCTGATTCAGTAGCTGTGCGTAGGACCTGTGATCCTGGAGTTTTAATAAGTTCACAGGTGATACCAATGCTGAGTAGCAAGGCTCTAGACAGGCCAGCTACATAGGCTGTGGGGCCCAGAGCTACATGAGAACACAGGGCCCCTTGTTCAAAAAGTAAGAGAAAAGCTCATTTTTTTTTCTTTCTTCTACATCTCTCTCTGGGCCTGTCATGGTGTTTTTTATTGGGCATTTAATGTCATTCTACCTCAGGAACTGGGATACATGCTCTTGAGGAGGAGTGAAAACCCTCACGGGCCCCAAGGGCCCCACCCAGCCCTGACCCTCCCCTAGCTGTGCCCAGGCCCCCACGGGGAATGGAGGTGGCAGTGGGGATGGTGGAGGAGGACCCTGCTCAGGGAGGAAGCCGGACACAGCACATGAGTGAGGCGTCAAGCCCCTGGCATGTGTTCCATCAGACTTCACTCATAAAACACAAATTCAAAGACAAAATTACCAGAAATTTCATGAGACCCCAAGTGCAAGGACCCATGGGACGACACTGGTTATATGAACCAGAACCATAAAGATCTGGTCCCAGATCTTGGCTTGGTTAGAGGTTTTAAAAAGTCTTTAAATCCCCAATCCCTGTGTTAATTTCTAAAAATTAATTTTCTCTTTATTAATTTCAACAGAACTTGCATGCACCTGGAAACAGCACGGGTGTGAGAGACGCACACCACATTGCATGCATTTTGGTTTCACACATTTCTTATGAGAACTGGATGCCTTCTCCTCTCCCAAGGATCTTGTGGCTATAGGTTGGGGACTCACCTCCTCCAAAGAGTAAGTCTGTTCCTTTCTGATCTAACTTTATTTTTTTTTAAGATTTTATTTATTTATTTTTAGAGACAAGGGAAGGGAAGGAGAAAGAGAGGGAGAGAAACATCAATGTGTGGATGCCTCTCACACGCTACATACTGGGGACCTGGCCCACAACCCAGGCATGTGCCCTGACTGGGAATCGAACTGGCGACCCTTTGGTTCGCAGGGTGGCACTCGATCCACTGAGGCACACCAGCCAGGGCCTTTCTGACCTAACTTTGATGGGCCTTCACTTCTGTTTCGCCCCGTGATTTTCCTGAAGAACACTAGATCCTGACACGAAGCGTTGCTGAGACAGCACTTTTGTCCTTGTGGTTTCTAAGAGTGAAGAATGTCCAGCAACCGGTCATCAAACACAGCTTCTACCTATGATAATTTTTAAAGAGTGGATATGAGCACATGCGAGTGAGTGGTCAATCTTACAGAAAACTCTGACCACTCTGCTCTGTGGGTGGTAAATCCTGAAGATACTTGACTCCCCGGCACCTCCATGAAACGTGTTGTGAGGCTGGGACTCAGCAGGTCCTCACTGACTGCAGCCTCAAGGCAGAGGAGAGCAGGGGGATTGAGTGGCAGCCATGACCTGGCGCCTTCTATTGTTGGGAACCACCCTGACTGGTATCAGAAGCTGAAACCCCCACCTAGGCTAAGGCTAAGGGAACACCCTTGGAACCGTAAACCAGCAAGGGGACAAAAGCTTATCTCCCTGGCAGGAATGCTGCTTCTGCTGCTTTATTCATAACTGAACCCCAAAAAGCTTGGTCGGTTAGCCAAAGATGGGTAAGATTCCCCAAGGGGGGAATGACCTAAGACAGGCATGATCACTTTGGGAGGCCCCCAAAAAGAAGGACTTTGGGGGGCTGCAGCAAAAGGGGGTGACGGACCCTCACTGCTCGGCTTTGACAAAGCCTGAGTTCTCATCATCTGGGAGAAAATCTCCTTATCTCTCGGTTGCCTTGGTTCCCAAGCTCCACCTAAGCCTGAAACAATGACAGGGTGGTGCAGCTCTGCTGAAAAGGGCGGATTCCCTGGGTGATCAGGCCTAAGAAAGAACATGTAAATTACTGTGAAACCTTCTTTGTTTAGAATGCTCTCAGTTGAATGAGAGGGGTCCAAGGAGGAACTTAGTTTGTTCCTCAAAGTCTTACAGCTCTTTGACCCCGACTCAAAATAGACTGGCAGAGTTCCTTGTTTTCTATGGTTCCTTACTTCCCCCTAATGAGTACTGTACTTTACGTGAATTATTATGCAAAACAAGCCCAATAAAAGCAGGCTTGGACTGTAAGTCTGCGCGCTCCCCACTGGGGGTGGGGGCCATTTCGTCCCTACTTCCCC